GGCTTAGCGACCATATCCTGGACCAGAATGGAAATATCCTTGAGAGTGAACCAAACCAAATCAAGCCAGATGCCCTGGAGTTGATTCCAACTCACAGGGTCAGAGTAGAACTGTGCTCCACAGGGTTTGAACATCTGTTTGGAAGTAAGTCGCCAGGCCTTTCTTCCTCTGGTGGACTTGAAAATGTCAACCTTTAGGTTAGGAGCCAAGTATTTTCATTGCTTGCTCCTTGAAGGTGTAAGGGACACACTATTAATAATCACCCAGGCAAAACCCAGGGCTGTGTGAACACACCAGGCTGCAAACCTGTTCTCTATACAGAGAGGCAGGCTCTGTGGTCACCAGACGTACTTGGGGACAGTGGGCTCCCTCTCATAGGGGTGAGGGGAGCTTCCTTTGTCCACAAGCAGCTCTGGCACCAGCTCTCTGGGAGCTGAAGACTGCAGCTGCCTTTGACCTTTCTGCCTGGAATCATGGGGTGGACTATGAAATGCCTAAGACTAGCATGGAATCTACCTCCGCTTGCCCTGGAAGGAAACTGCCCAACAGTTGCTCCTCATGGATGAGGAAGGCAGCCTAAGGTTTGAGGAATGATCTTCAGCCTCTCTCCTGGCTCCTCAGGATTTTAGGAGCTCAGTGTCTCTTCCAGCCAGTGACGGGCTCACAGAGGCCCCCGCATATCAGGACACTCCATGTGTGGCACTGTCTCTGTCTGCTCTCCTCTGGCCTGACCTACAGTGTTTCAGGTGTATATAAGGCAATGACCTCCAGGCACTCTGGGCCCCTGTCCAGGGCTTTCCATGTGCTCTGGGGTACCAGGACTGCTCACCAGCTGTGTCACTGCGGTGGTGGGGGATGCTGCCTTTTGCTTGGCATGAATGTGTGGTGACATGGATGTGTGGTGGCATGGATGTGTGGTGGCATGGATGTGTGGTGGCATGGATGTGTGGTGGCATGGATTGTGGTGGCATGGATGTGTGGTGACATAGATGTGTGGTGGCATGGATGACAGCCACCCTGAAGGGTTGATTCAGACAACCCCAGGTTGTAGATATACCGGGTACCTTCATTCCCATGACCATTGGCTCTTGTTGGCATGCAGTCCCTCCCTGGTAGAGGGAGGAGCTGTCTGGGTAGCTGTTTTGCTCCTGGCTGCCTTCTCCTCTACCACCTTCTAGTTCTTTCAAAGCGGTGCCTTCCACCCCCCTGCAGGGCTCAGCCTCTCTCTTCTCCCTTCATTCTTTTCATGGGACACTGCACCCCATGCTGTTGGTTCCTCACTCAAGTTCCCAGCATCCCTACCATACACCTGGCATCTTCCTACCAAGACCTGCCAGCTCCTTGGATTCCACATCTCATCCACTTAGAGCTGCTGCTCAGAATGCTCCCTGTTGTGGCCTAGGCCCAGTGCTGGAGGTGTCAGGAATATACCCCCACTCCCCTCTGACAGCCTTTGGGTCACCCTGCCCTCCAAGCCACAGCAAGGCAGAATGGATTATGCTGTTTCCTGCTTGGCCTGAGTCCTGCTTGCTCATTGTTGTCAGATTCCACTCAGTTCAGCTCCATTAGCACCCTGGGTTCTGCTCAGGAATCTATGAGGTGTGCTGTGAGGCTTGGCACAGCATAGGACAGCAGGAAGGAGGACACAAGGACACTACATTAGGAGTCCCCATGCCAGGTGTGAGAAGCATCAGAAATGGAGGGACTGAGAAAGCAGTGTGTGCCAGCCAGGGGTCAAAATACAAAAACAAACAAACCTCAAATCCACCCCACTAACATCAAATCAATTCGGACTCATAGTGAGCCTGTGCAGCGCTTCTGAGACTTTAAGGGAACAGAAAGTCTCATCTTTCTCCTGAGGAGTGTTTCGTAGGTTTAAACAGCTGACCTTGTGGTCAGCAGTCCAGTGCTTATCCTACAGCACCACCAGGGCTCCAAACTGGAGGCAACCCAAACACACTACCACAGAGTTGATTCCGACTCATAATGCACGACCCTGTATAGGGTTTCCGAGGCTGTGAATCTTTACAAGAGCAGAAAACCTCTTTTTCCGCCTTCGGAACTGCTGGTGGATTTGAACTACAGACCTTGTTGTTAACAGTTCAGTGCTTATCCCACAGTACCACCAGCGCTCCTTCAGCAAGGGGTAAATCACCATGGAATTTAAGGGTGACTTCCAGGAAAAGGTGGACGTATGATCAGGACCTCAAAAAATGATGGCATTATGCAAGTGCTAAAATGTGTGGCCCTGTGGGTTAATACACCAGACTGCAAGGCCGTTTGAACTGCAAGGTCGGTGGTTCAAACTCACCAGCTGCTCCTTGGAAGCATAGGGTTGCTATGGGTCAGAACCCACTCGATGGCACTTAACGACAATAACAATGTAACAGAAAAACTGGGAAAACCTACACTCGGCGATTGGATCAACACACTGTGGAATATTCTTAAATGAACCATTAAACAGCTGCTAAATGAACCAGTTTGGATCAGTCACAGGCATGGAATGTAGGAGGGGAATGACAAACTAAAGATACCATACAAAGTGTGGTGCCATTTATATACATTCTACAGACACACAAAACACGTCTGGATGTTGCTATGGATACAGACACTTGTGGTAACAACAATAGAAACAAATGCATACCCCCCAATAAACCAAACCCACTGACATCGAATTGATTCCCACTCAGAATGACCCAGTATAGGACTTCTTGTTGTTGTTAAGTGCTGTCCAGTCGGTTCCAACACAGAGTAACCCTGTATAGGACTTCCAAGGAGTGGCTGGTGGGTTTGAACCATCAATCTTATGGTTAGCAGTCCAGCACTTATCCTACAGTGCAATTTGCAAGGTTGCAAATCTTTATGAGCTCCTTCTCCCGAGAAGCAGCTGGTAGGTTTGAACTGCTGACCTTGTGGTTAGCAGTCCAGTGCTTATCCTACAGGGTCACCAGGGCCCAGAACACAATTATAGGAGTAATAAGCACCAGACATACCTCTGGAGAAGAAGGAAGAGAAAGGGACAGAGAAGGGCATCGAGTGTGGCTGTAGTCTACCTCTTTGAAAAGAGAGAGAAAAGGGGATCTGGGGCAAATATTGCAAAATGTAAACACTTTTTCCATGTAGGTGATGACAGGGACATGGTGCTCGGTACATTAGCTTCTCCTTATCTGTGCATTAAGGAGCTTTGGTGGTACAGTGTGTAAGTGCTTGGCTGCTAACCAAAGAGGCCATGGGTTCAAACCCATCAGCTGCTCCCCAGGAGAAAGGTGTGGCAATTTACTTTTGTCAAGGATTTAATGGTGGTGGTGGTTATGCACCATTGAGTCGGTTCTAACTCTGCAACCTTGTATATGGTCTCCGAGGTTGTAAATCTTTACAGGAGTAGAAAGCCTCATCTTTCTCGTACGGAGCAGCTGATGGATTCAAACTGCTGAGTTTGCAGTTAGCAGCCCAATGAGTAACATACTATGCTACTAGAAGATTTAGAAACTCTATGAGGAAGTTCTACTCTGTTCTTCAGGGTTACTTATGTATTGGGATCAACTTGACAGCTACGGTTTGGTTTATCTGTTCATTATTCTGTAACTAGAATGTTAAAGAAATGTTATGAAAAACAAAGAGGAAGGCGCATTCTTTCCATAGGTTGATCATTTCCTATAGGCGACTAGAGTGAACCAAGGGGCAGGGGGCAGAAGGGACCTGACGAGGGTCAGTGGGGATGGAGCATGCAGTGAGCAATGGGGAGGAGAGCCGGTTCTATGAGGGCTGAGAGGAGGTGGCCACCACTCGTCTGGGGTCGCCCTCACCTCAGTTCATGCCTGTAGTCCCAGCACAAAGACTCCTAGTGCTCTATTTTGGCTTGAACAATAAATGTGAAGGTCACCAACTCAGATGCCACGGTAGTTTGGATTTTGTTCCGAGAGCGATGGGAAGGCATTGAGAGGGTTCAGTAATTTATAATGTATAAAGGCCACTCAGGCTGATGTATGGAGAGGGCTGATAGGAAGCAGGAGGAAGACCATTGTCTGCTTCCTGGCATGCCCATGGCACATACAGAGTGGAAGGCACAAGGCCTGTGGGGCAGCAGAGGAGACTCTAACTTCAAGAGGGGTCAGGATGAGGTTGCAGCCACAGGCAAAGTGACTCTGATGCTGGTCTTCCTTCTCACAGAGCTGGTCCAGCCTAAGCCCCTGAGAAAAGCTACTTGGCTCCAGGACTGCAAGGCAGCTTGAGTACGAAATAGGAAAGTTCCCCAGAAGAGCTAACGGATACTGCCAATGTAAGAAATGGGTGAGGAAAAACACTCATTTTCAATTTGATAAATTTCCCTCATTTGTTTCCTTCTCAACCCCACCTACCCCTTATATCCAAGAGACAATTTCCAAGTGAGATCCAAAGGCATTCACAAAAATGCCAGGTGAGGAGGCTTTAGGGATGAGGCCAACTTCCAAGCTAAAGGTGTGCTGAGAGGCAGCAGCACCTGAGGTTGTACATATTGGTTGGTAGGGTTTGGTGAGTGAATACACATGTAGGTCCACTCAATCTGTGCCTCCACTTCCGGGTCTGGCATTGGTATCTGGGCAAAGCAAGGGGTATGGGCCTATATATGTGGACACATACAGACTGACCACATACTATGGGAAGAATTCACAGATTTCCAACAGGTCTTTGATAAGAGGGCTCAGGAAGGTAAAACATGACCAAGGCTTTGAAATGACAACGAACAGAGCAGACCAGGAACGCTGGAAACCCGTCAAACAAAGCTTTCTCTTCTCATCTTTCCCCTACACAGTCGTACCTGCATCTTGCCCCTACACAGCGGTGCTTCTGAAGAGACTAAGGAAGTTATTAGCTCTACCTTCCATACTCAGGTGGAAAGCCAATGGTCTCCCAAGTAGTGTGTCTTTGTGTATATGTGTGTGTGTGTGTGTGTGTGTGTGTGTGTGTGTGACGAAGACATAGCCACAGGCTCAGGAAGGGTGGGTAAGGGGGTCACTCACCAAGCGGCAGGACGAAGAAGAAGGGGAACCAGCAAAGTACGAAGACGCCCACGACAATGGCCAGGGTCTTGGCCGCCTTCTTCTCGCGGGAGAACTTGAGTAGGCGCACTGAGAGAGAGCTGCGGAAGTTGTGGCCCTTGGCGCTGCGTCCCCCGTGCGCCCCGTCGGTACCAGTGCCCGCTCCGCGACAGTGGATGCGCAGCACCACCTCGGAGGCCTTGCCCCGCTCACGCTTCACGCCCGCCTCGAGGCTGCGCGTGGTGCTACGCGCGACCACGTACACTCGGCAGTACATGACCACGATGACGGCCATGGGCAAGTAGAAGGAGCACACCGAGGAGAAGACTGCGTAGCCTGCTTCCTCAGTGATGCCGCAGAAGCGTTCGTCTGGGGGAACCGGCTCCTTCCAACCTAGCAGTGGCCCCACCGACACTACAAGGGCTACTACCCAAAGCAACGCCAGGATGGCGGCCGCCTTGCGCTCCGTCATGATGGCCGGGTACTTCAGCGAGTGGCGCACGCCCACATACCGGTCCACGGAGATGGTGCAGAGGCTGAGGATGGAGGCTGTGCAGCAAAGCACGTCCACGGCGGCCCATACGTCGCAGAAAGCGCGGCCGAAGGCCCAGAAGCCTAGTACCTCCATGGTAGCAGAGAAAGGCAGTACTGTGGCACTCAGCAGTAGGTCGGCCACTGCCAAGTTAACGATGAAATAGTTGGTGACCGTCTGCAGATGGCGGTTGCAGGCCACCGAGAGAATGACAAGAAGGTTGCCCGCCACGGCGGTGAGAATGAAGGCCGCCAAGAAGACGCCCACACCCAAGCCCTGCGCGCTTACCACCAGTCCCCCGACGGCCGCCGTGCAGTTCACCTCGCCGCCCGCGCCCGCGCCCGCCGGCTCCCCGGCCGAGCTGCCGTTGTCCTCGCCGCCGCCCGCACCCACCACGCTGCTGCCTCCGCCCGCGGCCCCGGGCACGCTGCCCACTGCCGGGCTCTCCGAAGTGGCAGCGCTGCCCGCGCCGCCGGAGCCGGCACCCGAGCCGGCGCCCCCAGAGCCGTTGTCAGGGCGATGTCCCTCGAAACTGACGCTCAAGAGGTCGCGGAAAGTCATTTCAACGCGCGGCCGTCGGGGGGCACCGGGCATAGCCGCGGGGCTCCTGGTACAGCCCCGCGCGCCGGTCCCGTCGGGGTTCTGCCCAAGTTCCTGGGACAGGGGGCGCGACTGCCCCGAACGAAGCGGGACCGGCCAGGACGGCGACCGGACTCCTCAAGGCCGGCCGCGGAACCGGACCGAAGAGCCTGGCTAGCGACGCGCGCCGCTTTCGGAGCGTGCCCAGGCGAGCGGGCAGAGCGGCGGCTCCCGGCCGGGCGGTGCAGGCGGCCGTCACTGCGGCTCTCCCAACTCCGCGCGGGGGGCGGGACGGAGGAGGGGCAGCGCCTGGAGGGAGGGAGGAGGGGGCGGCCGGCGCCTAGGGAGGTCGTGCCGGGTTAGCAGTCGTGCCGGGGTCCGGAGGTGCTGGAGGTCCGCTGTGCCGGCTGGAGCTCTAGCTCCGCAGTAACCGCCCCCGCCTCGCTGCGGGTGCCCACCCCCTCCCTCTCCCCTAGCGCCCCCACCCGCGCCTCTCCGTGACCCCTCCCCCTTTCCCCCAGCTGCGTCCCTCTTCCTCCCGCCCTCTCTCTGGCCTCTCGGTCACTTGCTGGTGCCCTTGGGCGCGCAGAGCGAAGGCGTGACTCCCGGATCCCCCAGCCCCTAGGCTCCCGGTTCCGACCGCCAGAGAGCAGCAAGTGTCCGGGATCTGCGGACTGCAGTCTGGACAGTGCAGTGCCGGAGTCTTCCTGGGATTGCCTGGATCTACTTTACTGCACCTAGTGTCCTCAGGCTTCTGGCTAGGGGAAGGTCCCAACCAGCGCTGCTCAGTGCAGTGGTGTGGACAGAGCCTCAGAAGGCTCAGACGTCATATCAGAAGGGTATGACGGACACACGAACCCGAGACTGTATGGCTCTAGCGCTTGAACTCTGCTCGTGACATCAGTCTACAACTGCCACTTCACTCCACATAAGGATGTCAGAATAAAACTTCCTATTTCGGCATCAAAACAAGTAGTCCTCTTGGGGGAAAGGGAAAGGGCTGTTGGTGGGACAGTTCTGAAGGTAGGGACAGTCAGGTGGGTCCAGATCCAGCCTTGACCCCATATTAGCGGTTTGCTGTTTTTATGCTTCAGTTCCTTATCAGAATAATGAAGATAATAGTAGTACCTACCTCCTGGAGTGATTGTGAGGGATAGACGAGCTAATACATGTTATGCCCTCAACTCCCAGAGCAGTGCTTGGAATTGTAAAGCTGGGCTCAGCAGGGCAGGATTTGAACAGGGAGGACAGAGGGCACAGGGGATGTGGAATTGGTATGAACTGGGGATATTGACCCGCAGGATGAGGAAGAGGGGAGGGTGTGAGAAGACTTCTGAACAGAAGAACTAGGTATAGAGAGATGAAAAACAACAACAACAACAACAACAAAAAAAAAAACAAATTTAACTAGCAATGGACTGTCTGCTGGCAGGCATCATACTGGGCACTTGGTGTAAGGGGGGCCGAGGGCCTGCAGGAATGATCATGCCATCATGTGGGCGCAGGATGAGGAAGCCTTGAATTATGCCAGGGAGATGAGGGCCTGTTTGGGGCAGTTTCCGGGATGGGGAGGAGACACCATGACTGGGGAGAAAAAGTAGAAAATGAGAAAAATATGGAAAGATGGGTACCTCCCTCCCCAAGGAAGTCTAGCCTGCTAATTGCTTAGAAAGAACTCTTCTAAAGTCCTCTACTACCTCATTAAATCTATTACTTGGGTCTTTGGGAATTTACCATAGTAAATTGAAATGAAAATAAAGTAGATCTAAAGGGTTAGCTGGCAACTGACCAAAGGCAAAACCTAGGGCTTGGGCTTCCTCCCTGAAGTGGAGGGGCAGGGGCCCTGAAAGCGGAGGCCAGGAGCTCCTCACATAGCATGGTGGCTGGCAGGTTCTGTGCCCACGAGCACCTGCTATCTCATAATGTGGATCAGGGGTAAGTTGACAGGCCCATCCAGTTCTGGGTTTGGTCAGTTTTTAAGGAAGACTGGGAGAAGGATATATTGTTAAGACCAAGACTGAGGCTGAGATGGTAAGGGACTTACCATCAGGTGTCACATAGAGATTTATGCCTGCTCTAGTCTAAAGGACCAGCAGAAGGCTGGCTGGAGGTGTCCTTGTCAACAGGGCGAGGAGGGTTGTGGGATTGGGTGCGTGGAAGACAATGGGACAGCCTCACCCTATCGTTGATCTTGGGGATTCTGAGATCTGCAAGAGGATTCCTGAGGCCTTAGAGCTCTAGGGAAAGAACATGGAGGTCAGTAGAAGGGCAGGAGTTGTAAGATTGTCTTTAAAGGTTTGTCAGATGCTCAAATCAGAAGGGGTTGGGAGTATGTACTGCTGGTATGGACAAAGGGAAATAGCTGTCTTTCTCTGAAGGGAGGTCTCAGCCATGATGGAAGGGCCTGGAGTAAAGAAAACCACTCCAAGCACACCACATACAACTACATCTTTGCACGGATGCCTCATGAGTACTTGAAATTAAACATATTCGGAATTAAACTCACAATCGCTGATACTCAAATCCTCCGAAAAAAATGGAACCACCATCCAATTTCTGAAGCTAGAAAACTGAACTCCAACTTCCACTTTACTTTCCACCCCAAATCTAGCCAGTTTCTACATTTTGTTGATTATTTTTGCATACATCACTTTTGTGAATCTAACCACTTCTCTCCAGTATTGCCTTCTCCCAGTCTACGGCCGTATGAACCTTTCTAAAAATGTGCATCTGATCATTTCACTCATTTAAAAGCATTTGTTTGCTAGCTCACAATGCTTAACATTTATGACACAGTTGATCTTGTGGAGATGGACTTGCATATTTAAATTTTTTTTTTTTGGTGTTGGTGGTGGTGATCCCAGGATATATGATATTGTGGAGTGACTAAGCAACATGAAATCCTGATTTAGTTGGATCACAAATTAATCAATGCAATTCAGAAATGATTGTCACATGAAATTGATGTCTAAGAATTTCCTTCATGAATAGAACCTTGTCCAGAGGGATATCCTCTCCCCAAATGGCTAGAACTTTTCTTCCTATCTTGCTGGGTTCTTGTCCCTGAGGCACTCCCATTGCATTATGGATGTCAGGAGCCTGGTGGGCAAATTGCTAGATCAGTGAGTCCAGGAGACCTGAGACTAAACATGTATGTCTCTCTTCTCTCTCCCTTATGAGATCCATTGAGAATGGTATCAAAGAAAGGCTCATCCCACAGTTTAGAAATTAATTCTTAGGCTGACTTATTATATGAACTCTAGATTCTAGACTTGAAAGGACCCTAGAACAGGCCATCAGGGGATTGAGGAGGTTGGAACCCACTTTTCTCATGTGAAGATGGTGCATGGTGGTTGGTAGAGTCAGAGTCAGAGAGCTGAATGGGAGAAAATGTTGATAGAGAAGGCATTTCTGATAGCCAGTTTGTTTCCAGGGATCAGCTGGTCAATCCCTAGTCCTCCCCCACCCACCAAGCCTAAGAGACCTTCGTTCATTCATTCAACATATGTTAACTAAGCACCAGCTCTATGCCAGGGACTATTTCGTCACTGGGTAAATAATACTGAATAAAGCAAAGTGCTACCATTCTAGGACTCCCATTCAATTGGCAGAAAGTTCTACCAGGAGTTAGGAGAGTCTTCCCATTGCCATGGATAAGAGTTTTCTCTGCATTTGACCTCTGGGAGGCTGAATGTCTTTAAGACCAGATGTCGCTTTTCAGGAAGGCTATTTTCAGTGAAATCTTCAAAGAAAAGATAAATCCAAAGGAACTCTTTTGCAATGCCTCTCCATCCTAGAATAGCAGTGGGGAGCTGAGTGTGGAACCTGAAAGGGTAAAAATCCAGGCATATCATTGGAAGACTTGGCTAAAGCTGCCACTTTGTGGGATCAGTTCCTGTAAAAGAACACAGAAATACATCCTAGTCTTCAACTTCAAACGGATCTCTAGTTCTTGTCACTGCCTTTACCATATCCTGATCACAACCCTGACTACAACCTAAACCATGACCTTGTCTGGCCTACAACCTAAGCCTGCCTGTCTCCTGATTGTTCCATTCTTTCTCAGGTACATATTGTGATTAGCACTAGACGAAGGGAGGAGGACATAGGACAGCCCTTCCTCACTATCAGGACAGCAAAGTTTGATGCTCAAGGCCAGTCATCTCTCAATGGCCAGGGGTTAGGGAATATTTGGGTGAAGGATATTATTTCTATAGGAACGAGCTACTGAGATATGCAGCCCCATCCCTTTGTCAACAGAAGCTGCAGGGGACTTGAGGCCTGTTACAATCTATTTATGATAATATTTGCCTAAAATGAACGGAGTTGGAAATTAGTGGCCATGTTTGCCAGCATAGTAGAAGTGATACAAGCCAAGGAGAGCAGTGGAGTGATGTTCCCATTTGGAGTTTGGCAAACAGCCCACTGCTCTGGGGGCCCTTGGGAGTGGCTGTTTGCTTCATACCCTTGCAGCTGTATTTGTTTCTGGAATCTTTGAGTTTCTACTCCTAAAACAAGAGAAGTTATTCCTTTGTTTCTTTTTGTTTCTCTTTCAGGAGAGAAAATAGCTGAGAAGCAGGATATTGGAAAAAGCTGAAAGACCTACTAGGGTGGAAAGCTCTCAGAATGGTGCAGACTTTTTAATTAGCGTGGACTAAAAACTGTAAAGAACACTGTTAAATTTCAATGATTTAATACAATGAAACTTTATTTTTTATTGATTCAAAGTCCAATGTGAATGGATTTAGTTAGGCAACTTTCCAGGGCAGATCACCTTCATAGGGTCACTCAGGGATCCAGGTTTCTACCCATGTATGACTCCACTGTTTCTTAGAGCTTTGGAAACTTGACTCTTCTGGATTCTCTACATTTAGTTGCTCAAAGCACATAGGGATAATGTAGAGAATTACATGGATATTTAGTTATGTTTAATTAATACAACACTTGTATCCAAGCCCCATAGTCCCATGGCCCCACTTAAC